AACATATAAATACAAGAATACAAATATATACACACAATTTGATGCTAAGTATAACATAACTCATCAATTCAAAAGATATTTAGAAATACCTCCTTCCACGATTGCGGTACAAGTGGCTGCACCTTCTCTGTTCCTTTCTTCTCATTCCTAATAGATGAGAGCCAGTCGGTGTATCGTCTTCTAGCCTTCGATTGCCAAGCACAGAACATAACGCTATCATCAATGCGAGGGTCCCAAGTGGCATGTTTCTAAATTTAAAAAAAGAAGTTAGACCGGACATGTTAGAAAATATCTTAAATAAAATATAAAATATAGAAAGCATACATTTGATATTCGTATCTAACCAAATTTTACCTGAAACTCTCTCCAGTAAGGGAGATTGTAAGGAGTGACCATTACTGGCCAACAAGAGTATTGAGAACCCGATTGCCCGAAAGGTTGAAAACCATCTGTGCAGAGACCCAACCTTACATTTCGAACTTCAGAAGCAAATGTTGGATTAGAAAGGTTGAATTGCTTCCAGGCCTCAGAATCGCAAGGATGGCACATATCTCCAACACTATCGTGACTGTGCTCCGCATGCCAACGCATGGACTTCGCTGTTCTCTTTGACATGTACAATCTCTTTAACCTTGGCGTTAGGGGAAAATAGAACATGTATCTATTTGGTATCTTTTTTATAGAGTCTTTGTAACGAGGCTTTTCACAAATTTTACATGCAGCTAGCTCAGCATCTGGGCCCCAAAAAAGCATGCAACCTTGGACACAAAAATGAATTTTCTCCACTGGTAGTCCTAAACCTTCAATGAGTTTTTTTGTCTCATAAAAATCAGAAACTATTGAATTGTCCTCCGGAAGTCCGTCTTTGAACAGTTGGCAAATAGTGTCGTAACACCTCTCAGACAAATTGTGCTCTGCCTTAATATTGAGTAATCTTGCAACCATCGAGAGTTGGGACATTTTAGTGCAACCTTTCCATAAGTCAGTATCAGCGGCTTTTAGCATGTCAAAAAATTTTTTGTCACTAGCATTTGGTTCCTCCTCAACTGGAACGTTAGGATTAAAGGANGCCCCGCAGCATCAATCACCATATTCATGTATTCTGCCCTTTCGGTTTCAACAAAGGTACGAGCAGATTTACGGCGCCGATGATGGCTCGTATAATCACCATGTTCCTCCCCGTGGCAAACCCAATCAAGATATTTAGGAGTGAAACCTTGTCTCAGTACATGAAGCTTAATGTCCTCGATATCTTTAAAATATTTATTCTTACAAATCTTACAAGGACAACGCATCTGCTCGTTGAATCTGTCTACTTTTGGATTTGACTCACAAAACTCAATGAATTGTCTAACTTTGTCAACCCAATTTGTATTTATAAAACCTGAGGTATCAAGTCTTTTATACATCCAATCTCGATTTTCGTGAAAGTCACTCATTCTGAGAAATTCAAACAAATAAAATTGACATACTATTAAGTTATAAAATTTATTACAAAAAACTAAAAAAATTAATATAAATACAACACATACGTACAATTTTCAACAACATACATTATACGTACATAATCTTTTTATAACATTTACAATATCTAAAATACTCTATGAAACAATTAATACACATAATAGTCATTCACTAAACCCTAATTTCAACAATTAATAATGCTTTTATGTTTCAAGCATATAATGATTTTTTAAAAACAAAATGACAAAATTTTGGGGAAAAAAACCCTAATTTCAAGAATGTTCAAATTTGGAAGAAAATGTTAAATAATTTACATATAATAATATATTTTCTATTCATATCATCAAAACAATAATAAATGTGTATCCAAGTAAAAATAATAATCTATAATTGAAATTTTTTACAATATCAATTGTAAAATAAAATTGAAGAAAACCCGAGATTTGTGGATAGAAATCGGCACAAGGTAGCCGACGACGGTAGAGATGGGATGCTGAACAGTGGCGTTAGGCGGCGAGGTGGACGGCGAGTAGCGGCGACGACCTGGAGGGCGAGCAGCGGCGACGACCTGGAGGGCGAGCAGCGGCGATGGGACGGAGAGACTTGCTTTTGGTTTTGGTCTTCGATCTGTTTGGAAAAGAAGTTTTTCAATTAAAAATGCGCGACGGAATGTAGCGACGGAATATTCCGTCGCTGAAAGAAACGGTGCCGTATTGAACCGTATTAAAAATATTCTTAATAGCGACGCTTTTTTTCCGTCGCTGGTGTAACGACATTTCTATTCCGTCGCCAATTCTCTCGTCAAACGTGGCGCGCACCCCTTCCCGCGTCTACTTAACGATGGAAGTTAGTTTCCGTCGTTAAATCTCGTAGTCATCTCCATTCCGTCGCTGATTCCGTCACAATTGGCGATGGAATATATTCCGTCGCCAGTTTCCGTCGTCCTTTTTTGCGTTTTCTTGTAGTGGTAGCTATAGGGACTTATACTGGAGGGTCGATTCCTTTCTCTGAACACCTTGCCTAATTGGTAAGTAATGAATGAATCAATGCATATTAATATTTTTTCACTTCTAAATTTATATGTTAAGTAATAATATGAACACATTTTTTGATGAATTTACAATGTTTTTTATATTGTAGACTCAAGAGTCTGAAGCTCCAGTAACAGTGATGGATGCTTTCAAGCACACCAAGACAAAGAAACATGATGGGAAAACATGGATAGATCTAGAAAATGCACAACTTGAGGTAAATGTGAATTATGCATACTTCTTATTATTTAAATTTAAATACAATGCCAAAATGTGATAATTACATATACTCTGTCTTTATTATATATTGATTATGTATTTCATTATATAGGCTGATTTTGTACAATTGAAACAAATGGCTGAGCCAGGTCTTCAAGTCATGGATCAAGAGATTTGGTTTGAGCTAATTGGTGGCTTTGATCAAAAGAATAGGATTAAGGGAGTCGGAGATCTTACCGAAGAAATGAAATCCCTTAAACCTAGATATTAAAGCAGAATAAAGAGCACTAGTAATATTTCAGAGATTGAGCGGTTGAGAGCGGAGAACGAACTCATGAAGGCAAGGTTAGATAAGATTGAGTTGACAGTTGCTGAACAAATTCAAATGATGTGTGGTGGAAATCTTCCGACACCTTGAGACCTTGATGATGGGATGGGAGACTCAGGAACTGGTTGTGTCGCATGAACAACTTATGATAATTATGTGTTTTATTGAACATTGTGTTGTGATTGAAAATTAATTTGATTGAATTATGTTTTAATGAATATTGTGTGGTGATTGACAATGAATTGATAAATAACTTGAGTTTCGTAAGGAATTTGAATAAAACTGTGATGTTTCAATGCTATTGTTTATATGATGTATTGTTGCAATGTTATTGTACTGTTGGGTTGCTAAAATCTGGTGCAGAACAGGTTGCTGATATCTGGTGCATTTGCGACGTATTTATTCCGTCGCAAATTCCGTCGTAAGCTTTCTGTCGCAGATTCTGAAATTCGTTGGGCCGTTGCTAACACCGTCACAGAACTGCGTCGAATTTAAAACTCCGTCACAAATATCTAAAATGCGAAATTTTTTTTGCGACGGATTAATTCTGTCGCCGACTTGTTGCAATTTTGAACCCTACGACTAAAACAAAGGGTTTGCGACAGAAATTTTCCGTCTCAGATTTAGCGAAATTTTGTAGTGTTTCTTGAGAGAAAGGGGGGACACGTTTTGAACAAACACATCAATACTTACAATTTTACTTGATTCTGAACTTGTGCATTCTCGACTCAGTTCGATACTCTTTCGCCTAACTTCTTAGGCCCCGGGTTCCATAACCCAACAAGACTACTTCCTCTCGGCCTCAACACGTTCGGCATGGGAAGTAGGGGACTCATGATGGATACCCTGGAATGGGGGTATCCGGCCACACGGAAATAGCGGCCCAACACAGCCAAGCTCAAGCCACTCAGCTGGGCGGAACTAAAAAGAAACTGAAGTCTCAAGAGGTCCGTTGCCGCATCAAGATACACTGAGCCCCGACAGACACGCTTAGCCTCGGACCACCCTCGGCCGGCCTTTCGTCAGGGAACTTCAGGAAGTAGATCACGTGTACTCGGCCTCGGCCTATGATGCTACCGGACCGGGACCACAGGCATGGAAGCTGCCTAACGAGTCAAGGGGTCCACGATTGGACCACGCTTCGGTCAGAGTAGTTTTAGCCACCCTACTTATAACTTATTTTGTATAGCCACCCTAGGAATAATGATGTGGTTGGCACCGCTGGTTAACTAACCAAATCTTAGTGAGCCCGATCCGTTGGGCTCTGAACCAATGATCGGGAACCCCATCTATAGTTTGCATATAAGTCCTTTCTTGAGAGAATGGAAGAGACGTTCTCTTGCAGGCTAGTACTTACAATATTATTTGATTCCTAACTTGTGCACTCTCGACTCAGTTCTATACTCTTTCACATAGTCTCCTAGGCCCCGAGTTCCTTAACCCAACAGTAATAGTAGTAGTATTAGTAGTAGTAGTAGTAGTAGTAATAATAATAATAATAATAATAATAATAATAATAATAATAATAATAATTTTGGTCCAATCTAATCTCATCTGATTGGAACTGATCTGATCTGGTTTGAATGATCTGATTTAAATAAAAATAAAGAATAAGCAAAAAAAAATTTAAGTTGAAGGAAACGCTGACTAAGGCCTTGTTATCTTTATTAGAAATCACCTAAATAGGACTAAAACATAGATAAAAGTTCCAAAATAGGACTTTCATGTGTTTTTTCCCGGAATAGGACTTTGCACTGCGGTAATGTGACTTTGCCCTGTGGTAATGTGACAGTGTACATGTGCAAATTACTAAACATTTTTGGTAATGTATATGACCATGTATGGTAATGTAAGTCCTATTTCGGGAATAAAAACATGGAAGTCCTATTTTGGTATATTTTCAATGTTTTAGTCCTACTTTGGTCTTTCCCTATCTTTATCTTATTCTTATTACTTTTTTATTAGATTTAGATCATACACGAAATAGCTTTAAATATAAATATATTCTAATCAAATCAGATTAAAACTAATTCTAATCAGATCAGAGTTTTTCAGAAAAACATACCCTAAATAGAAATCACCCTAAATAGGACTAAAACATAGATAAAAGTACCAAAATAGGACTTTCATGTTTTTTTTCCAGAAATAGGACTTTGCACTGTGGTAATGTGACTTTGCCCTGTGGTAATGTGGCAGTGTACATGTGCAAATTACTATACGTTTTTGGTAATGTATATGACCAAGTATGGTAATGTAAGTCCTATTTCGGGAATAAAAACATGGAAGTCCTATTTTGGTATATCTTCAATGTTTTAGTCCTACTTTGGTCTTTCTCCCTAACCTAAATGAGATTTTTTTTATTTTTTGCTGTCAAAGATCAAATACTCAAGTCCGCTCTTCCCCGTAATAAAACCAAAACCTAGGGTCTTTCATTAATTCTCCAGCCCTATGCCACTCTTTCCGCCCTCGTTTGCGTGCTCAGCCACTGCCGTATCTATCCCTCGTTGATTACACTGATCTCTTGCCAGCGAATCTTCTTCCCTCCATCGTCTATAAAAACCCTAGAATTCCGCTCGTCATAGAGGGTTATTGCAGAACCAACGATGTCTCTAAGGGTACTGAATCCGAACGCCGAGGTGATGAACAAGTCTGCAGCACTTCACATGACCATCAATGCCGCTAAGGGTTTGCAGGACGTTCTCAAGACGAATCTTGGACCTAAGGGAACAATTAAGATGTATGTGTATTCGTGTTCTGTATTGTGTCTATCCGTTTACCGTAGATTCTGACACGTTAATTCTCTGATATATGCTTTCTAGGCTCGTTGGAGGTGCCGGGGATATCAAGCTTACCAAGGATGGCAACACCTTATTGAAGGAAATGGTGAGTTCCATCCCCAGTTTTTCCCTTTTCTATTGCGTCTATGGATTTGTTAATATATAAGTTATGGTAGTGTTTGGGAACTAGCATTTCATTTTCAAAACTTGAATTCTTGAATTTCAAATGATAAAGGCAGACATATGGATTTGTAATTAAGCTTTGTTATGAACTAGGGTAGTGTTTGGGAAGTAGCATTTAATTTAAATTCTTGCATTTCAATTCCAAAAATTTGAATTCTTGAATTTTAAATGACAAGGAGAGGTATATAGATTTGTAATGAGCTTTGTTATGAATTAGAATATTTTGCCTAAAATCAAAATCTAAATATTTATGATGCCAAAGCATGAAATTTGAGCCAAATCCAGTTTTTAAATCCATATTCAAGTTCCCAAACATGCCATATACAAATTACTCTGTCAAGATCTTCAATTTCTGAGTGTTGATGCATTAACTCTTTGAGCATTTGCGTAGGTAAATTTCAGGAGTACATAGCATCATTTGTAACCAGACAATTCCAAGTTTGAGAGATAGATCCCTATTGAACCTTGCCTTTCAAGTTTGGGTCCATTGTTGATTGTGATTTCTGAATGTCAAACTTCTCACCATTATATTCCCACCGTCCCCATTTTGATTACAATTTTATTTTCTCTCTCATCTCGATAACTTTTGTTTATTTGTGTGTTTTCATTGATTATTTGATAAAATAAAATATTCTTGTCACCTCTCGTTTTGTAGAATTTTGGACGTAGTGTTTAAATATGTAATTTTTATTTCTTATTGATGTACTAATTTATAAATAAAATGATTTCAAAAATCGTGGGATTTTACATCGTAACTCCCATTTTGTAATCAAAATAGGGACAGAGGGAGTATATGAAAACTATGAGCTACTTGCAATGCCATAGAGCATATTTGCATACATCTCCATTTTGTTTTGATGAATTATGTCGATCCATTGGTATTACTAAACAAGGTTTACTCATTCCAAAATCACTTGTAAAATGATATGTCCATTTCTTGTGGCTGAATTGTATCCCTCTTGATAATTGCAGCAAATCCAAAACCCAACTGCTATAATGATTGCACGAACTGCAGTTGCCCAAGACGATGCTAGCGGGGATGGTACTACATCAACAGTACTTTTTATTGGTGAACTCATGAAGCAGTCTGAGCGCTACATAGATGAAGGTTTGTTAAATCCTCCAATCATTTCACAACATTCAGGCATGTTTAAATAGCCAGGGATGACACCCTCTATCTTTTTCTGCAGGGATGCATCCCCGAGTGCTAGTTGATGGCTTTGAAATCGCAAAAAGGGAAACACTCCAGTTTATTGAAAGATTTAAGACACCTGTAGTGATTGGTGGTGAACCAGATAGAGAGATATTGAGAATGGTGGCCAGAACAACACTGAGGACCAAGGTTTCTTCTGTTCTGATCTTTTTATTCAGGCTTCCACTCCTACTTTATGCCTTTACATTTGCATATCATTTCATATTTAACACAATATATCTTTTTTAATGCAGTTATATGAAGCAATGGCAGATCAACTTACAGACATTGTTACTAATTCTGTGAGTAATAGAATGCTCCGTAGATAGTTCTTTTAGTATCTTGTTTCTGATTGTTAGGAAGCAGAAAGGGAAGAAATTTTGGTTCACTTTTATAAGCACACATACATTCACATGGTTTGCGGGTGCATGAATTAGTTATTCGTTCATTTATTTATTTATTTATTATTTTAGTTTCTTTGTTTGACAATTGTCTCCCGCCTTAGCCAAATAAATGAGTTCACATTATTTTGTTGCTGATTGACAATTATTATGAACTCTTCCCGGGTCTCCCATAAGAGTCAATTTTAAGATCATTTCCCCCCTAAAAAAGTATCCATTCTGATCAATCAATGATACCTTTTAGATTTAATTTGCCAAAATAGAGCCGTGAACAATATTTCAAGTTAAATGTAATAATTTAGTTAATCCAACAAATAAATACGAAAAAAGTACATAGGATTTAATGACTAACGGCTTGGGACTGTTGCACATTACCTAAGGATAAACTTGAACCTTTTTCAAGTATGCTGTATGCCGCTTTATGATTTATTTTTATATTTATAATTGTAATTATATTTCATACAACAGGTTCTCTGCATTCGCAAGCCTGAGGAACCTATTGATCTTTTCATGGTTGAAATAATGCACATGCGTCACAAGTTTGACATAGACACTCGCTTGGTATATTATATTCCCTAGATATGTGCCATTAAAGTATTCAATTATGCAAAAGGGCTTCTTAGTGCATTTAACACTTAAAGCTTCTTCAACATTTTATGATCTAGAAATGCAGTTAAAATATACTTCACCTTTGTTTTGAAAATCGTTTGTATGCAACTGTTTCTGTATTGTGACAATAAGACTACTGAGCTCATTATTTATGCTATCATGTTGAGATACTTCAAAATCCATGTAGGTTTTGGCTTATGACAATATCACCAGACATCTGGTTTCACTCTTTTGTAACCTATTAATAGCGTTCCATTTTTTTATGTGGTTATATAATAGGGGTGTGAAAAAGAGATTACATTGATATAACTGTCCTCATATTCTTAATGGTAATAGGTGGAGGGCCTTGTACTCGATCATGGTTCTAGACACCCAGATATGAAGAGGCGAGCAGAAAATTGTTATATTTTGACCTGTAATGTTTCTCTGGAATATGAAAAGAGGTAACAACTGTTTCTCTGGTTTTGTCTGAATTTGGTGCTATCAATGTGTTAGTTTTTTTGTTGATGCCTTTGTTTTTTTTTCTGTAGTGAAATAAATGCAGGATTTTTCTACTCAAATGCAGTGCAAAGAGAAGAGATGGTCGCAGCTGAAAGACGCTCTGTGGATGCCAGAGTGCAAAAGATCATTGACCTAAAGAAAAAGGTATTGAATACATGAAGCATTACTCAACAGACATAATGTTAGCTTTTTATGAATTTAATGTTCATATCTTTCATGTTGCCTACAGGTCTGCTCTGGCAATGATAACAACTTCGTTGTCATTAATCAGAAAGGGATTGACCCTCCATCATTGGACCTTCTTGCTCGGGAAGGAGTAAGTTTTCTTAATCCATCTTTCTTTTTCTGGACCCTTCACAGTTTAAGTTTTTAGTGCAGAAAATGCATTATTTTCCTACAGGATTGAAAAAACTTCTATTATCAGCATTCCTTTTATCTTCTATACGTCTGTCCGATTAGATGATTTTTTTCACATTCCACAACCCAATGTACCACAGTTTTTAGGCTGTAGTCACTTATGAATTCTACCCGCTGAACAAACTGCTTATCGAACTCTGTATGTAAATCTCTTTTAGTGTAGCGGGGTAGTCGGTTGGGTCTCAGGCCTTAGCTGTTGCTCTTGTCGTGTGCGCTGTCTTTGCTTGCTGCCTTTTGTCTATTTGTGTTATTCAGTTCCTTAATTTGCTCTTAGTGTATTATGTTTGTGCTTTGTGTGCCTTTTGTGTTTGAACTTGGGGTATCTTGGAAACCTCTCTACTTATTGAAACGATTGTTCATTCAGTGAACTGTGACGAGTCAATTTATGTATGAGCAATGGAATGACTAAATCTATTTGTATGTTTTATGGTGTGTAGGGTTTCACCTGAATGTTGTCGTGAATCCTATATTTGTCTATCCATATCTTTTTCAGATAATCACATAATGTTTTTTAATGATATTTTGGCTATTTAGATAATTGCTCTTCGAAGGGCAAAGAGGAGAAATATGGAAAGATTGGTCCTGGCATGTGGGGGGGATGCAGTTAATTCTGTTGATGACCTCACTCCAGATTGCCTTGGCTGGGCAGGTTTGGTCTATGAGCATGTTCTTGGAGAAGAGAAGTACACATTTGTTGAAAATGTGAAAAATCCCAACTCTTGCACCATCCTTATTAAAGGTACTTTCAAGCTTAGGAGTTGCTCTTTGTCATTAAACCATATTTGTTGTAGAATAGCAGGTGCATTTTTGCAGTATAAACATCAATGGAATCACTGCTGACCTTTTTTTATATTTTTAATTTATACTCAGGGCCTAACGATCATACCATTGCTCAAATCAAGGATGCTGTGCGTGATGGACTACGTGCAGTAAAAAATACTATCGAAGATGAAGCTATTGTATTGGTATGGGATCTTATCAACTTAACCTTGATGAAAATAATTTTCCATTCTGTATGGCTTGATGGCATCATCTCTCTCTCTACTCACATACACACCTAAAAACAAATAATCTCCCCGTCCCGTAAAAAACATTCATGGAGTTTAAGGGAAGTTTGAAAAGTAAAGTGGTTGGAATTTGTTTAGAAGAGAGAAATGTTGTGACATTTTTTTCTTAAATTAAAACAAAGGGAGAATATAAATAAATGTATGACAGTGTGTGTATGTGTGTATATATGTACACACACACACACACACATATATATGTATGTATATATATATATATATATATGTATATATATGTGTGTGTGTGTGTATATATATATGGGATTGACTCCAGTGAGATGACACCTTATGGTGAGATGATGCAAAGCTCACCACACTACACCACAAAGCTCACCAATGGACAATGCAAAGCTCACCTAGAAATAAAGTAAAGCTCACCACTTTGAACACCAAAAATCACCTTTTTTTTAAATTCTGAAAATTAAAAATTAATAAAAAATAAAATAGCAACACCGGTCAACCACCGGTCAGCGGTGGCGGCGGAGCAGTGGCAGTTGCCGGCGACTGAGGGCCGACTCCAGCGACTGGTAGCGGATTCCGGCCACCGGCAACGGCAGCGGATTCCGGATTGGCGGTGGCCTGCGGTGGCAGGCAGCGGTCAAAGGTCTCGGTCAAAGTCAAAGTCTAGGCAGTTTTGATTTTATTTTTTCAAAAAAAATTCAAAGTATTGAAAAAATATGGTGAGCTTTGCCTTACATTTTGGTGAGCTTTGTAGTTGTCCTTGGTGACCTTTGCAGTTGGCAGTGGTGAGCTTTGCGTCATGTGATCGTAGCATGTCATCTCACCCTAAGGTGTCATCTCACTAGAGTCAATCCATACATACATGCATGCATGCATACATACATACATACATACATTACACACACACATACATATAGGTGCTTGTGTGTGTGAATGAGTTTTTACTCAGAACTTTTCACTTGGGTGTTCACTTGCCCAGGGTGCTGGGGCATTTGAAGTGGCAGCCAGACATTACCTGATCAATGAAGTGAAGAAAACTGTTCAAGGGGTATGTGTGTGTTTAAATGCATCTCTTTATACTATCCAAGGATACACGTTGTTCAAAAAAGTTTTTTTTCATACCACTATGTTATTCTAATGTTGGAAGTTGCAACCCAAAATTACTCAAGTTTTTAATTCTCAAAATAATTTTTTTTAGATTAATCTTGATTAAGGAAAATTTGTTAGGTAATGAAAATTTGAAACTCAAGTTTCAAATGAATAATTTTCAAGAATTTACCTTCTTCATACAACATTCTCTTTCTTGGAGAAATGAAGGTTATATACACCAAAATCATGAACAACCACAAGTTAGATAAAATTATTTAAAAACATGAAAAATAATCTGTTGAAATCATAGTAATATAAAGTCTCTTTGAATTCCAATATAACGGCCTTCATGGTTGTCTTCCAACCTCCAGATATTGTCACTCCAAGTTTCACAATTAACCCATGTTGATTTCCTAATTACCTTTTGATGACAATGGTAAATACCATGATTAAATCTTCATAAAGTAATTATGAAAAGTCTTCTTTTTATTGTCACTCAAAGAAAGTTTCGAGGTTACCATGATTAAATTTTCATTAAATCAAGTACAAAAATATTCTTGATATATCATGCCAAATTCCTTGATATTTCAAAATCAATGGAATTGGCTTATTTGGACTAGACAAATCAGAATAAATAATTAGCGAAGAAATTGGAAATTCCTGGAAGCTTTCTAGATGAATTCCATTAATGGTTATAGGTAAACCCAGTGCCAATCATTCCCTGTTTGATTTATTTATCACCCCTAGTATTTTTTTCTGCCCCAAATTGTTCTGGGCTTTTTGTGTCAGGCTTTGCATCCACCACACTTCAATATTGAAGGCCTGTTTCTGTGTGCATCATGCCCTCAATCGTTTAGCGTTTATCTCTCTTCTGTACACCTACTTTTTAAAATTGATTTTAACTCTTTTCTGATTGCCATCAAATCGTCATTACCCAATTGTCAAATGTGATCAGCGTGCTCAACTTGGTGTTGAAGCTTTTGGCAATGCCCTCCTTGTGATTCCCAAGACACTTGCTGAGAACTCTGGCCTTGACACCCAAGATGTGATCATTGCTCTAACGGTAACTGTTTAACTTTTTCACCACAAATTGGGAAACAAGACTAGTAAACTTGATTTTTATCATTATTACAAATAATGAGCTCATTCAATTCTTCTGTAATTGTGATTCCTCTTTCAGGGTGAGCATGACAGGGGGAATGTTGTGGGTGTTTGTCAGCATACGGGAAAACCTTTAGATCCAGAAATGGAGGGGATCTTTGATAATTACTCTGTCAAGCGTCAGATTATAAATTCAGGGTATATAGACATGATCCCCCCCCTTCTCCTCCCCTACTATTATACGGAGTATNTTTTAATACATCAATAGTGCTGAAACTTATTTATATGGTGTAATCAGCCATTCAATAATTGTAGATTTTTACCACAATTCAATAACCTTTTAATCTACAGTGAAGGTTGCTCTTGCTTTTCTTTTCTCGTGTCTTCTCACTAGATCCTCTTTTGTTCTGCAGCCCCGTAATAGCATCTCAGCTACTGCTTGTGGATGAAGTGATCCGAGCAGGACGTAACATGAGGAAACCAAATTAACTCTTTCTTGTAAACCAATACTTACATCACTGTTCATCCTCTTTCAGTTCCTCAAAAGCATTTTTGAAGGTTAGTTATGGATGGATTTTGTGAGATTAAAAACTCAAGTGCTGGTAGCAATCAATATCCCCGTTATGCTTTTTTTTGTAACAGATAACCCCTTGTGGATTGTTGTCTTTCATTTGATGGATTATTTGATTGTTTTTAAATTTTTATTGTTTGGGTGACCTATAGAGCGATGATGCACCCTGAAAAAGAATTTTGTTCACATTTATGATCGTTAGCACCGTAACAAACAAAAATTTGAAAACTTTCATTTGAGCATCATGATCGAGGTGTTCACTTACTACTTTTCGTTAAAGTTAATTTAACACTCAGTATAAAAAAATACCACATGATATGGAGGCATTCGCATTGCTGTCATTTTGTTTAGTTATAATCATTCTTTAAATTTGGGTTAGTTCTAATCATTCTTTATATTTGAGATATGTTGAAAAATTTAGAACTAAAAGTATTCTAGACTATACTATGTCAGCATTTTAGTTCCAACTCTTTCAGACACAATATAAATTGCATAAAATAGAATTAAAAGAACCACAAATTAAGATTACACAGTAGACATAAGTGAAATGGATAAATACTCCATTTTGGTTGAACTTTAAGAGAACAGAAAATTTTTTTGGAGTACTCCTAATATTCTTGTCATAACTCTCATGTCTCACGTTACTAGAAATAGACTCTAGGGCACTCTTGATTCTATGGTAAAAACTTTTAAGTTCTACATTATTCGAAGTATAATCTGCTTCAATGCTATATTTCGTCTATTTGGCTATTAAAATTAAAAATTTCGTTGGCAAATACTAAATTGATAACTTTTTTTTTTGAAACACCTTGATAACTATTATTTTATTAAATTTAAATAAAATCTTACAATTTGTTAAAATAAAAAAACTTTTAATCCTAACACCTAAATGGGCGGAATGTACTCTCAAAGTATATACTATTACAAATTTTAAGGATCTTGGATTATATTTCTGATAATGTGGTAACTGTGATTTCTTACTAGAAAATCAAGAGTACTCTAGAGTAATTTTCTATTTAAGAGAATGCCAAACATAAAAATTTAAATATAACACTGCATAGGATAAAAATAAAACATAACAAAATAAAATTATATAAATTGACATGATTGACAATTGATTTTTTCAATTGGGGAGACTTGGTTTTTTTAATTTAAATTGGATGGATTGAGTAGGGAGTCTTGAAAGTGAATATGAGAATTCAAAGACTCCATTTCAGATTTTTCTAATTTCCTATGCACCCCAATGGTAATGTCTGGAGAAAAGAGTCATAAGACTCAAAACTTTCATTGAGAATGCCCGAAGAATGAGGGGTTACTCTCATTTACTACCTCCGTCCCATTTTAAATTGTCTATTTGCCTTTTTCCTCCGTCCCAAAATAAATTGCCTGCTAGTTGTTTTCGTAAACTTTTAAGAGTAAAATATCTAAACTACTTCTAAAATAAGTCACACTTTTCCATATTATCTTCTCATTCATCATCATCCCTCCTAAAAAGTACTGACAATTTCGGAAAATCAACTCTATTTTTTATTTTCCTTAAATATGCCCAAAAGTCAAAACGAGCGATTTAAAACGGGACGGAGGGAGTTAGGATTTGGGAGTTAGGATTTCAGATTTGGATGTCGAAAGAAATAGGAAGAAGTTGAAAATAATTGGGAGTTAAAAAATATTAAAATAATTAAAGTGTTAGAAAACACTTAATTAAATGATCACCCAAATAAATATGTAAGAAAACTCTAATTTTAGATCAAAAAGAATTTATTACTTTCCGTGTTTCAGGTGGTATGTTATAAATTTGGATATGTAATGCTATTGTATATTTATCATATATATATATATATATATATATATATAAAGTTTGGTTCCGGTGAGAAAGAGATCTAATGAAAGAAATGAGAATAGCTTACAACCGTTAGATTTGGATCTTTCCCTAGTGTCTTTTCGTTCCAGTGCCTGGGCATTTTAGGACTTCTACATTTTAATCTCTCTTTCCTCATACGTATGATCTTTTCCCCTCAAAACCTGCATCTGATCTCCGTAACTTTTGATTTCTGTTTTGCGAGTTGCTAGTATGGAACCTCTGTGGTCATCGTGAATTCATCTTGCCGTTGTCCAAACTAGTAAATCTCTGATGGAAAGTGCAGATATGTGCAGGTATGTTCATGGGGGAGGGAGTTCGATTCATGAAAACATCCGGCTATTGTTTCATTAAAATGGGTAATATTTTCTGCATTTGGATTCCTCAATTTCACCTTAGAGAATTGCCGTGTTTATGATTTTAGGTATGAAGCTTCAAGGATGCCCACAAGCTGTTCGACCTATTTCCATAAAGAAATCTACGAATTGAACTAGAGCTTTGGGTTGGATAACATCACGGTACTTATGCATATGTTACAACTGTTGAATTAATTTTTTAGTTCCTCCCTTATGTTTTCTTATATTTACGTTTACTACATTTTCAGATTCAAGTAATGCATTACTAGATCAATGGAGTGCATTATCATTTCACCGTGTTGCAAAAATGATAAAATTGATGGGTATAATAATTGAATATTTGATGTTTTTTGCTAATTTCACTAGTTTATGATATTTCCTGTTTTTCAGTTGTTTCGTGTTGTAGTTCATTTACATGAGTTGTATATTGTTTCCCCTTTCTTTTTAAATACTTTTGCACATGAACTGTTTGTGAAAATGTCCCAAAGAAAACCAAGTGCAATTTAAAACTACGAATAGTAGTTGAATGAAAGTCTTTTTCATGTTTAAATGCATAACATACGCTCTTGATATGCATGTCAAAGTATGCAAGATGCGTTATATCACATTGAAAATGAAAAACAAAGAGCATTTTTAAAATTAAAATAATGCATTTGCAGATCAGAGTGTCGCATAAAGGATGAATCGGAGGGGTATTCTAATTTATTATTCAATGTGTTCATGTCCATTAAAGTTACATTGTGCTACTTCTTGTGTTTTCAATTAGTGTGAGCTATGCTTCAATTGCATTAGTTGTCTTTTGTTGTCCATTCAAAGTTTCTTTTATTATAAATTTGTGTTCTTGTGCAAGATATAGAAGAATCTATGAAAAAACGAATTGATGCCTATTAGCTCAAATGGTAGAGCGGTATGTAGTACGGATGTAGGTTCGAATCCTACATAGGCAAATGTATTTTCAAATTTATTTTACACTTTCTCAAAAGTCGCTGCTTATATAGATTTCAAATTTGGGGCTTATTTGCTTCTATTATGAATATATGTATTTTTGGCTTTTGCTTTGTTTTGATTGTGCCTGATAGCTATTTGTAAATGTATAGTTGGAGTTTGCAAGTGTAGGAATGGGCACCAGGGTCTTTAGTTTTTCAATATGTTGTCATAAGAGCTTAACCAACAAGCTGATGACTTGTTTATTTTACTCTGCAATGCAGACTAACGCTAATGCATTCTAAGATCAACACAATGCATTTTCAAATCACAGTGCCTATTTTCACCATTGAATTTCTTACAACACAATGACATCAAATTAGATTAAATATAATATATTCCATGACTTTCCCATCACATAATATATTTAATCAAATTAGGTCAAATTAGATTAAATATAATACATTTCAGTCTTTATCATCACATATAAACTTCCTCNACGCTAATGCATTCTAAGATCAACACAATGCATTTTCAAATCACAGTGCCTATTTTCACCATTGAATTTCTTACAACACAATGACATCAAATTAGATTAAATATAATATATTCCATGACTTTCCCATCACATAATATATTTAATCAAATTAGGTCAAATTAGATTAAATATAATACATTTCAGTCTTTATCATCACATATAAACTTCCTCATGAGTCATTATTCACCAATACCAGTAAATAAATAAAATTTTTATAATATTCAAAGTACAAGTCCCAGTACATATATCATTCATCATAGTGCATGCATAATTTACAATACGTACTGCAGCTATGTATGAGAACAATGCATACAATTTAAAAACCATCACATGAGGAGCAAAAGTGTTCATAAAATTGAATAGTTTTTAGAAGAAAGGAAAAAATTATAAATCTCATATTTTTTGTTTACAAAAACGTTAATGAAAAAACTAAATCCCTTGCACAAAGAGATATAAATTAAAATAAAGCAAAAAAGAAACAAAATATTACAAAGAGTTCCATAGCAAAAATCATTTATTATATATTGATTTTTATTGAAAAAACTGGTTCACAAATTAAAAAAAGGAATAAAATAAGAAACCATTAACATGACAACAACTCATGTGCATGATGATGAAAGTCACGTGTACGATGCATTTATGACAACCCCCGATGCATTTATGACAACCCCCGATGCATCAATGACCTGCTACGGGTTGTGTTGTACTATTTGTAAAAAAAATAAATGGAATAGGTGGATCACATATGGTAAGCGCGAGAAAAGGTGTATCCGAATTATTTCCCTGCATATCGTGTTTCTTTATTTACAGGGATATGACTTTTATGCCCCTCATAACTAATTTTTCCTAATTTGTAGCATTGCCATTATTACTTTACTTATTAAATTAGATAATTCATTTATTTCAATTAATGGATCGTGTCCATCAGATGCATCAAATCAAACGGTCCATATCTATTCTTATTTCTTTCACCAAGCATCTTTCTCACAGGTATCTAGTTTCTTCCATTTCCTTCTAATCTTTCTCACCAAGCATTTTTCCAGATATACTGCAGCTATATAATTTACAATACGTACTGCAGCTATATATATACTCCCTCCGTCCCACTCTTTTTGTCCACTTCCATTTTTGCACACCATCCAATGCACTTTAATCCATTTTATCTTGTAATTTGTATATTAAAAAATTATAAAAATTATATATTAATAATCTATATATTAAGACAAATCAAACAAGATCACACATGACTATTTTTAGACTTACACATTGAGAGAATTTGATGAGTCAAAGTGCTTAGATGAACAGTTCCAAAAGTCAAAACTGGACAAAAAGAGTGGGACGGAGGTAGTATATATATATATATATGATAAATATACAATAGCATTATGTATAAGTCTCTTTTGGGAAAAATTAGAAGGAAATGGAAGAAACTAGAAGTTAGAAAAAATTGGAAGTTAATTTTTCCAACCCAAAAGAACATGGCCTAAATATAACTCCTCCGGTCCTAAAAACCTTTCCTGTTTTAACTGTTTTGGTCAAATACAGACTCTTTGACC